GATATACATATAAATATAAATAAAAAAATAATAATAAATAAATTATATATTAGGGCTGGTAATGATTAAAATTGTCGTGTTCGATTAATAAAAAATTTTAAATCGATTAATTTTTGATTAATTATAACGTACATACAGATCCAACAACATTGGCCTATACACATACAGCACAGCAATGAAGTAATAAAATAAACTAGGATCACACTAATCCAGCACGTTATTAATCTCACGTGCCCCACTCAATATGGCCGCCGCTTTAGTGGGGCAACTCAGAATAATAGCGCGCTGGATTAGTGTGATCCTAGTTCATTTTATTACTTCATTGCTGTGCTGTATGTGTATAGGCCAATGCCTTGGTCCACACTTGTGGGCACACTGACCAGCTAGGAAGATTGCAGAAGAAAGGTTCGATGTCAATTGGCAGGCTGCACAGTGATGTTCCCTTTACATGTAATATAACCTATTTAAAAATTGATAGGGCAGAACAAGTTTCTTGGGCAAACTTAGCGGCCCAAGTGGCTCCTTCGCCTAACGAAAGGAAGGGGGAGGAGTCCGGTGACGTCCGGTGATCCATTAAAATGCTTCTGATCGCTAATGAAAACACTCACCTCTACGCCGGCTTCCGGGAGTCCCATCGGAGATCCTTGTAAAACGCCCAGGTGTGAACCCGGCCTTAATGGCTCTAAAATTATTGCTCTCACTCCGTTTGCGGCGATATGCAACATGTGCGGCATGTAGGCGCACCTGACGCATATATGCGTGTGTATTAGGGGGGCGCGGACTTAAAAAATTTTTGGACAAAAATAAATGTTATGCTTCTTTATTTTTGTTATGAATCTTTCATTTTTGTATTACTCTTTTTTTTTTTTTTACATACAACTTTATTGCTATTACATGGGGGGCTAAGAAGCCCCCTATGGGATAGCCTATTTACATGACAGGTCCTCTTTAGGGAGACATCAGGGGTCTCCAAGACCCCTAATGTCATCTAGGGACCCCCAGAGAAGCTGATGAAGCAGAGATCGGCTTCATCAGCTTCTCTAGCTGGAGAGTGAGACTGAATGCAGGAGGTGAATTTCTTCACTGTAATATACATCACTTCCTGCATTCCGGGACTGAGAGGAGATCAAAGGAAGTTCGTATACTGAACTCCCTTTGATCTCCTGTCACGATGCGGTCCCGGCCGCATCGGGCACAGCGGATCTCGGGACCGGCAACGGCAGTGACAGCTGCTGATAGAAGCGATCGAGCGTCTCTCGAGACGCTCGATCACTTGACTGTAAAGCTCGTCGGGCTCCACCGAGTGGATTTTTCGAGCCCTGTATATATATATATTATACCCCTAAAGTCTTGAAATAGATGCGGTTGTAACCACTAGATGTCTCTAGATTTGAATAGGAAACCCTCTGCTACATTTATCACTTTGTGAAATGGAGAATGTGGTTTGAATGATATTATCTTTATTTTATTTCTCTTAGTTGTATATGTGTGCTATTCTTTCACATTAAAATCCAGTTTTTTTCAAATTCCCCCATATACATTCATCCATCTGCGACATCCTTACTGAATCACACGCTTCTCTACTGGCTGAAGTAGTCGGAACTACTACTGATCACATACTCTTTTGGAGATGGAGGAATCTACAACAGAGGATAGGCTGAAATGTCCTAAATTGCCAACTGAAATGACATTTTTTCTTTTAGGTCATGTGTACTGCTCAGGTAGCCATTTAGGCTATTTGTACTGTCACCAAGCTATCATTGGTATCCAGTACCTATAAGTGCCTATAGATTTATCTGAATTGGATGAACTAGGGTTTGATCCCTGCTTGTCTTCATGGTTTTCCTGGACCATCATGGCCGAAGCCTTTGACAACATCAGGTTAAGCTTGATTGTTCCGCTAAGCAGTATGCCAGTACTCTGTAAAATACTTTACTTATATTACTAATGTATATAGCACTTAAGCTTCTTCTACATTGCGTTACACTGTGCTGAGTTCTTCACACCACTTCCTGCCATCAGAACAACAATAGTCTAATGTCCTAAAAGTCATGCACATTCTGACACCCAGCAAGTCTAATACGAGGGGAAGTCAATAAAGCCACATGTATGTTTTTTGACGGTGGGAGGAAACTGGTGAACCCAAAGGAAACCCACTTAAACAAAGGAGGACTGTTCAAACTTCCTGCAGAGAGGGCCTATGGTGGAACCCAGGACCTCAATTAGGGTTGCCACCATTTCTTCTAGTGAAACCCGAACACTCTAGCAACGCACTGACATTTTTTTGGGAGAATAAGTTGCGGCTTATTTGTATGTAAATAGCGCCGCCCATTCATATGTAAGTATCACAGTTGAGTTTTATTTTTGGTGGGGGTCCAGTAGCCCCTATTTTAATTTTGGTTGCCCCTGTCTGCATGACATCTTGTGTCCGGGTTTCTGCTGCCATGAAACCCGGATACAGCATTCAAAACCCGGACTGTCCGGGTCAATCCTGGACAGGTGGCAACCCTACCCTAGTTGTTTTCTACATTTAGCCCATCATAATGTCACCGAGATCACTTGTATGCAGCCTGGAGGTCCGTCCTCCCCCCACACCATGTAACTCTCTCCTCCATGGTCGCCTCTGTCCGAAGAGCTTCAAGATGGAGAGCAGTGAGCAGAGCGGAAAACGTCGGTTCTCCGCTCTGCTCTATTTAAACAGTGAGAGGGGAGAGCTGCACTGGCATCCTTCCCATCTCAGCTGTCACAGGAGTTCCAGCACAGTGCTGTGCTAGAACTCCTGCATTGGAGGTGACAGGTTCAATAAAGAGAACCTGTCACCTCCAAATGCTATCACACAGGGGCTTGTTATCTCCTGTGTGATAGCAATAAAGTTAAGAGGGGAAAAAAATTGGGGGAAAAAATAAAAAGTTTAAATAATAATAAGAAATAATAAATTAAAAAAAATAATAATATTAAAAAAGTGACAAGTAAAAAAAAACCAAAAACAATTAAAACTAATACTGCCCCCTCCCCCCACCATCTGGTCCCTTTAGATCCTTTAGTAGCCCATGCAGAAGGTCTCGTGATAGGAATTCAATACAATGTTTGAATGCAAAGATACTAATCCAATCATGTGTAATGATATCACAGCTCTGGGTATTTCTCACCACCCAAAGCAGTGGCCTTGTGTGCATGTTGCTGAATTACAATTGAGCTGGTTGTGCGTTCAACTTCTCTGGTGACCACCTTTTCAGCTTTATTTCATAAAGTTGCAGAAACCAGCAACCAACTGGCTTTCAGATAAGTTAACCTTTCATATTGGTTGCTATGGGTTATTGCAGTGTAGTGTTACTGCAGTCAAGATGGTGTCCTGTGGGTCAAGGCAATGGACTCTTGGAAGGAAAGTTTAACCAGATTGGACTATCCTTAAGGAGACCGAGGGGGAGACACTGCTGGTAGTAATACCCAGAAATACTAATCATGTGGTATGTAATGATATCACAGCTCTGGTTTTAGGTGCCACCCACCATCTGTGGCAGTGGCGCTGTGTGTATGCTGCTGACGTAAAAAATAAAATGGTTGTGAGTTCTAATCCATGTACAACCACCTTTTCAGATTTATTGACTAAAATTGTATAAACTACAGAAACCAATTGGCTTTCCGACTGGGTAGCCTTCTATATGGATTGGTATGGGTTATTGCACTGTGGAAGCAGCAGTCAAGATGGGTGTCCTGCAGTTCAAAGGCAATGGACTCTTGAAAGTCGAGTTTAATCAGAAGGGAAGAGCCTTTAGGAGGCCAAGTGGGACCCTGGTCTAGGTCTGATGGCAGCAATGTAACACAATGATTGACCATTAATCCACTAATTATATGCCAAGCATTGGTATCACAGCTCTGGTTTTAACTCCCAGCCCTGTATCTGAGGTGGTGGTGGTGTTGTGTATATGCTGCTAACCTCAATGATAACATGATTGTGAGTTCAAATCCCCATACAACCATTGTTTCAGATGTATTTATTAAAGTTGTATAAACTGCGGAAACCAATGGAACCCCATTGGCTTTAGACTAGGTAGCGTTTCATATTGATTGCTTTGGGTTATTGCACTGTGCAGGTAGAGGGCATCTTTTATTTCAAGGCAATTGACTCTTGATAGTAGAGTTCAACCAGAAGGAATAGCTTGTTGGAGGCTG